AGCCTCCCAAGTAGCTGGGACCACAGGCGCCCGCCACAACACCTGGCCATTTTGGGGTTGCAGCCATCATTGTTGTTTGGTGGGCCCGGGCTGGGGATTTGAACCTGCCACCTTAGGTGTATGTGGCTGGCGCCTTAGCCGCTTGAGCCACAGGCGCCGAGCCAGAAACGAGGTCTCTTAAAAATAAGAAAATATTTTTTATATTTATTTATTTAGAGACAGAGTCTCACTATATCACCCTTGATAGAGTGCTGTGGCATCACAGCTCACAGCAACATCAAACTCTTGGGCTTAAGCAATTCTCTTGCCTTGTGGCAGACACCTGTAGTCCCAGCTACTTGGGACTAAAGGTAGCCATCACAACTCCCTGCTATTTTTGGTTGCAGTTGTCATTATTGTTTAGCAGGCTCGGGGCAAGCTCAAACCCTCCAGCTTCAGTGTATGTGGCCAGAGCCCTACTCACTGAGCTACAGGCACGGAGCCGTAAATAAATATTTTTAAAAGTCAGAAAACCAAAATTCCCTTGATTTTAGTATATTGTTAGTTTCACTTTAAGTTTGTGTTTCTCACAAGTGGCAAAACTTAAGAGACAATAAATTCCTAGAAATTAAGCTACTTTTCCATTAAAAAAATCAAATGCCTCTTAGTATACATACAGGTATAGTTATTTTACGACACTCAAATAAAAAGCTTATTTTAGATTTATACAGTATTAAATGTTGCCCTTACTATTTCCGCCCGCCCCTCCCTACTCAACACTGGCTCTGCATCTCCCAGGCCTCCAGGCCACCCTCTTCCTCCTCCTCAGCTCTCTGCTGCCTCCACATCACCACACCTGGCTTTCCCAGCCTCAATCTCCCAAACACTCAAGGGCCAAACCCCCTCTGCAAAGTATCCTAATGCCACCGGCACAGCTCCTACCACAGTCCTTCACAGAGCAGCGCCACGTGCCAGCCCACGCACGAGGCCCTGTCCTCCTGGCCTTACCTGCTAGGCATAAAGGGGTGCTCCTTACGGGGATCACAATCAGCAACTGCACTTATCGAGTCCTCTGCCTGTCTCATAAACTTGATACTTCTGCACCTTTCTCCTCCCACTTCCCCAAAAAGTAAATATAGAGAGTGAAAAGAAAAAAAAAGCAACTTTGGGACACATGAAGGAGACTGGGACAGAGAAGACTAGGCATGGTCAGGGTGGTACTAGATGGCCCTAGATGAGACTACGGTACCCACAAGACCAGCACCAAAGTACTACATACCTGGATTTTTTTTTTTTTTTTGCAGTTTTTGGCCAGGGCTGGGTTTGAACCCGCCACCTCCAGCATATGGGGCCAGTGCCCTACTCCTTTGAGCCACAGGCACTGCCCAACCTGATTTTTTTTTTTAAAGAAAAAAGGCTTAATCACTTTTAAAGACACTATGTTTCTCAGTGGCCATCTTTCGAGGGTAACTTACTGAACTGTGTAACTGACAATGTCTTTCCATCATGATCATGACTGCGTCAGAAGGCCTTCCCTGCTGTCACCCACCTCAGCTGAAGGAGGACACCTGGCTCCCACACAGCTGCAGGACCAGCCAGGGAGCAATGCCATCACTAAAAGCATCCTTTAACTGGGAAGGGGCACAGGGAACCTTCTGGGTAATAGAAAAGTTCTAGTTCTTGATCTAGGTAGTGGATCTACCTCTCTCTATATATAGATATATAAACCATACACTAAAGATTTATACATTTCATTATAAATTAAATCTCTATGAAAATAAAAAGATATCCACTAAAATCAGACACATGAAGATAAAATTTTACCAAAATTACGAAAAAATTGATGCATAGCACTTACCAAAATTCAAGAAAATCAATTTGGCCTGTATTCCAGGACACAGTTTGACAAGAAATGGAATGGCAATGTACAATCCCACAACAAAGAGGAGTATCTTCCTCAGTCGGAACCACAGGCCCTTTCGCCTGCAAGAGAAAGGCAATGAGCAGGTGAAAAGGCAACAGGTGTAATTCTGCTGTAGTTTATTAATACCATTATCAAAATCACTAAACGAGGCTGGGCACGGCGGCTCACACCTAGAAGCCAGCACTCTAGGAGGCCGAGGCAGGAAGATCACCTGAACACAGTAGCACGAGACTAGCCTGAGCAAGAGCGAGACTTGTCTCTACAAAAAGATACCCACTAGCCGGTGTGGTGTCATGCACCTGTAGTCCCAGCTACTCAGGAGTCTGAGACAAGAGGATCACTTGAGCCCAGGAGTTTGAGGTTACTGTGAACTGTGAAGCCACAGCACTCCAAGGGTGTCAAAGTGAGACTCTGTCTCAAAAAAAAAAACACCCCAAACCAGCCAACAAACAAACAAAACTAATAAATGAGTTCAAGGTAGTAGGATGAAAGATTAATATAAAATCAAATATATTGTTTACAATTAAATAACTATTTCATAATTAATTACATTAATATAAAAAACCCATTGTATTTTTAGACACAAGCAACAAACATTCCAGAAAAAAAAAATCACTTAACAAAAGCCACACATATCTTTTTCCACAAGGTTCCTGCCTCCCACTTGTCTTTGTTAAAAAAATTATTTTCAAATATCCTTTAATTTGAGCTTACAACTCCATGGGTGGGGGGTGGTGGCATGGAGCAGTTTTTTTTTTTTTTGAGACAGTCTCATTTTGTTGCCCCCAGTAGAGTGCTGTGATGTCACAGCTCACAGCAACCTCAAACACCTGGGTACAAGCTATTCTCTTGCCTCAGCCTCCCGAGTAGCTGGTACTATAAGTGCCTGCCACAATGCCCGGCTATTCTGGCTCAGGCTGGTCCCGAACCCATGAACTCAGGCAATCCACTCGTCTCAGCCTCCCAGAGTGCTAGAATTACAGGTGTGAGTGACTGCGCCTGGCCCCTGTTTCTTGTCAGCTAAAGAAACAGTCCTGATGATTTCTTATGTTCACCTTCGGTTAAGAATCCAGCAGAGAAAGAAGATTCTCAGAAGTACCCCACCTGACATCACACCTCTGCCTAACATCAGACTCCAGGAGTGTCCCACCTGACACCACACTCCGAGAGTGCCCAGTCTCTGGGCAGCGCCTGTAGCTCAGTGGGTAGGGCGCTGGCTCCATATACCAAGGGTGGTGGTTCAAACCCAGCCCCAGCCAAACTGCAACAAAAACATGGCCAGGTGTTGTGGTGGGTGCCTGTAGTCCCAGCTACTTGGGAGGCTGAGGCAAGAGAATTGCCTGAGCCCGAGAGTTGGAGGTTGCTGTGAGTTGTTACGCCATTGTGCTCTACCGAGGGTGATAAAGTGAGACTGTCTCTAAAAATAAAAAAAGAGTGCTCAGTCTCACATAAGACTCCAGGAGTGTCCCACCTGACATCACACTCCAGGAGTACCCTACCTGACATCACACCCCAGGAGTACCCTACCTGACATCACACCCCAGGAGTACCCTACCTGACATCGCACCCCAAGAGCGTCCTGATACTAGACCCCCGCTGCAACTTCATCTCAGAAGAGGGGCCTCCCAGCTGCCCTGAGCCAGCTGCAGGCAGGTTGGTTACTCCTTAGCTCCTGGCAGAACATCAAGAGAACCTGTCCCACCAGGTTCTAGGAGAACAGGAGGCTGAGAATGTGACCGTGACCATCACTGTGTGTCCTTGCGTTTCCACCCAGGCAGACCCCTCTGGCACTATGCAACGGAGGTCCCTTCTCCAGGACTTTCAAGACAGGTCCTCCACCCTCCTCATCCCTCACCAGCTTCAACAGTTCCTGGTCCTATTCCCGACCCCACTGCAAGAATGTCTCTAACCCACTGATTCTCAAACATCTTGTTAGGACCTCACTACACCAAAAAATGAGGACCGCAAAGAGTTTATGTTTACATGGTTCATATTTACTACTATCTTTTGTGAGAATAAAGCTAAGAAAATTTGTAATGCCTATTAATTCATCTAGCAATAATACAGAGGATGCCAAAAAATGCACACACATTTTAAGAGTTGGTATCTGTGTATCACTTTTTGAAGTTGAATTGAAGGTGCTGCTACTGGCAAGTGTACCTACGCATGCCACCACGTCCTCTTTACCTGCAATCTGTACACTTTTGGGGAATGATCAATTTTACTTCCAACAAGCTCTCTTAAAGTGTGTATATATATTTTTTGGCACCCCAGTAATAACCCATTACATGTTGTTATAAGTATTTGTTATGGAAAATAATTACATTTTCCAATTCAAGAATTTAGTGAGAAGACTGGCATTAACATTTTTACCCCCAACCTCAGAGGGCACTGTGTTCTGCTGGCAGGGTAAGGTCTGCTCCACCTAACCTGCTGGACATCAGGCCTTCTGAGAACTATGAGGCAGTGGCCAGATGTGCGCACTGGGTGGGCCCCTGGTTCTCGACCTTTCTGGGCTTGTGGTAGAATGGCACATCACTCCCCCTTTATAGGTATGGGTAGCCATTGACTCACTTTGGATAAGGAAACGTGAGGAAGAAGAGCCAGATGAGACAGAATAAGTCTGTGTGGCACCAGCTAAGGCCCTGAATGACCACAGTGAGCAGAGCCCAGCTGGGCCTGGCAGGAGTAAGACACACCCTCAGCGAGCCAAGTGCTGCAGCACAGCCTGGCCTGGACCAAGACACATCTCACTACCCAGAGGCCCTCAGGGAAGACAGGAGCTCGAGGTCCCTATCTTCCTCCTCCCTGGGTCTCCATTTGAAGTCTCTCAGGCAACTCAGAATTAACATGCCCAAACCCCCAAATCCACTCTGCCCCAGGTTCTCCTTGGGCAAACACGAGCCCAAGCACCTGTGGTGGGCTCCTGGGAGCATCCCTGACACCCCTCCCTGCTCTAAACTCTGCTTCCCATGACTGCCAAGTCTCCAAAACCTGCTTCCGTCCCGTCTACCTCTAGTCACCTCCACTGCTGCCTCTTTAGTCCAGACCAGCAGCCCCAAACCTTTTGATTATACAAGCCATCAGTAACATGTTTTTGGTACATTATTCATTATGTACGTGGTTACTAAAATACACATATGTATAATTGGTCTACAGGTATTATTGGTTAATCTGTGAATATGAATGGAATTAGAAGGCCTGATATTTCCCTCCCAGACCCCTGTGATTGTGTCTCAAGACACCCCATGGGTGAGCCCACCCAATATCCTGGCCTCCTGCAAAGATCTCCTAAAGGGACCCACCCCCAACACCCTTCACCACAGACATACTCTACTATGTAACTAGACAGACCTTTTCTTTTTTTGTAGAGACAGAGTTTCACTTTATCACCCAAGGTAGAGTTCCAGGGTATCACACAGCTCACAGCAACCTCCAACTCCTGGGCTTAGGTGATTCCCTTGCCTCAGTCTCCCAAGTAGCTGGGACTACAGGTGCCCGCCACAATGCCCAGCTGTATTTGTGTTGTTGCAGTTTGGCCGGAGCCAGGTTTGAACCCACCAACCTCGGTATATGGGGCCAGCGCCCTGCCCACCGAGCCATAGGCACCACCTGCCAAATCCATCTAAAATGGGTCCCCAGGCCACATGGGCCCCACTCTGCTGCCCCTTTATCCAGCACTCGCTCCCTGACCCAGTTCAGATTTTTGCAGGGACCCCAGATCCTGTGCCCTCAGCCCTGCACCTCCCATAGGTCCCAGCTTTACTGCCCTTACTCCAAAATGCCCTTGGCTGTCACTGAACCAGGATAGCTTCTTATAATCTATGTCAATCTCTCCTTTCCCTTCTTCTGTAAGCAAATGTTTTTCTTTACAATCATTTATATAACCTCTCTCCAAAACTGTGTGACATGTGGCTCACGTTACTGCACCACCAGGCCGGGTGCAGTGGCTCACACCTGTCATCCCAGCACTCTGGAAGGCTGAGGCAGGTGGATTGCCTGAGCTTACAAGACTGAGTGAGACTGAGACCCTCTCTACTATAAATAGAAAATCTGGGGCAAGAGGATTGCTTGAGCCCAAGAGTTGGAGGTTGCTGTGAGCTATGATGATGCTGTGGCACTCTACCCAGCACAACAAAGTGAGGCTTTGTCTCAAAAAAAAAAAAGAAGGGCTCGGCACCTATAGCTCAACAGGCTAAGGCGCCAGCCACGTACACCTAGGGTGGCGGGTTCAAATCCCCAGCCCGGACCCGCCAAACAACAATGACGGCTGCAACCAAAAAATAGCCGGGCGTTGTGGCGGGCGCCTGTGGTCCCAGCTACTTGGGAGGCGGAGGCAGGAGACTCGCTTGAGCCCAGGAGTTGGAGGTTGCTGTGAGCTGAGATGCCATGGCACTCTACCAGGGGAACAGCTTGAGGCTCTGTCTAAAAAAAAAAAAAAAAAAAGAAGAAGAAGAAGAAGGGTAAAGCCTCATAACCTTGTTGGGGTCACCTTGGCAACAGTTTCAAAATTTTAAATATTTATACTCTTTGGTCCACCAAATCTCAAATTACTCTAAATAACTAGACACTTTTTTTTGAAGGAGCAAAGGTTAAACATTAGAAAATAGCTAATAATAGCAAGAAACAATGGGAACAAGCCAATTGTCCATCAACAGGAAGCTGATTAAATAAATGATGAACCCATTCAGCACAAGGATGCTGGGTTCACTCCATATAGAGTCTTCACTGGCAAAACCAGTACGTATTCTTCTAAAATTCCCCTGAAGGCGTGACAATCCACAGGCAGGAGTTTCTCCCAGCTACTGCTCCACTGATTGCTGGCCCACCCTGGAGGGGACAGTGAAGTCCATGACAGCCTTCCAAGGCTGCTGCCCGACCTCACCTGTCTGCAATTAGCCCTCTCCTTCTGCCTCTATACAAGCAATTGACACCACTCCCTGCACACCCTTCTCAGTGGGTGTCCATACACAAGAGCAAACGCCACAGGTTGCAGCCTTGAGGCTGGGAGCAGGTGGGAGGTTGATATTCTCTACAAAGGGAAAATAGAAGCTTTGGA